AGCGCCGCGCCCCGCACCCGCCCCTCCGCCAGCCGGTACCGCACGCGCGCGTTCTGCCCCCAGTCCGCGTCCGTGGCGCGCACCGTCAGCACCAGCGCGCCCGCCGCGTTGTTCTCCACCACGCGCGCGCTGTACCGCTCCTCCGCGAACACCGGCGCGTTGTCGTTCACGTCCAGCACCCGCAGCGCCAGCACCGCGCTGCTCTGCAGCGCCGGCGACCCGCCGTCGGCCGCCCGCACCGTCACGTTGTACTCCGACACCTGCTCCCGGTCCAGCTCTCTCGCTGTCAACACACGGTAGTAGCTGCCGTGGGAGCTCTGCAGTCGGAACGGGACGCCCCCATCTAGGGAGCAGTGCACCTTGCCATTCGCCCCTGAGTCACGATCCTGCACATGTAGGAGGGCAACAACAGTCCCCAACGGAGTGTCCTCAGATATTTCAGTAATCGACGACCTTACTGAAATCTCTGGCACGTTGTCGTTGACGTCTGTGATTGAGATCGTAACTTTGGTTGTATCAAAAAGACCTCCACCATCATGTGCCTGCAACCCCAGTTCGTAGGACTCACCTTCCTCGAAGTCCAAGCTTCTCAATAGTGTGATCTCTCCAGTGTCAGAATCCAAACGGAAAATATCCGATGCCAAGTCTGACACTTTTTTCAACGAGTATTTAACTTTCCCATACAGCCCCTCGTCCGTATCCGTGGCCGTGACAGTGACCAGGACAGAGCCCACGGGCACGTCCTCGGGCACACGCACCGTGTACTCCGCCTGGCTGAACACGGGCGCGTTGTCGTTCGCATCCACCACGGTCACACGGATCCGAGCCGTGCCCGTCCGTGCCGGATCGCCGCCGTCCATCGCCCTCAGCAGCAGCTCGTGAAACGCCGCCTCCTCCCGGTCCAGCGCCTTGGCCAGCACCAGCTCGGGACGCTGATCGCCGCCGGGGCCCGCCTGCACGGCCAGCGAGAAGTGCTCGTCACCGCTCAGCTCGTAGCTCTGCACGGAATTCCGGCCCCAGTCCGGGTCATGCGCGTCTGGCAGGGGAAACCGCGACCCCGGAGCTGTCGTCTCGCTCATTCTGAGCTCTATTTCTGAATCACCGAAACTCGGCGCGTTGTCATTAATGTCCATGATTTCCACTTCCATTTCATAAAACTCCATTTCTCCCTCCACGATCAGCTCACAGCGCAGCACGCATTTCTCCACCTGCCGGCACAGCTGCTCTCTGTCGATCCTCTCCGCCGTCACTAAATGTCCCGTCTTCCCGTGCAATGCGAAATACTGCGTCCGACCCTTG